ACAAATTCCATAAATTTTGCAAAAACTACTTCACAAAAAACACTAAAAGTTTTACAACGGTCGCAACATACCCTAATCAAATTTAAGCCCAGTTTCCAGAAAAAATGAATAATTTTTCAAACTTTTCAAACAACTGCATGAGCAAATTGTATGCTTGAATAACGATATTTTCTGGAACTGCGAGAAGTTCCCGCAGCATGCAAGTGAATAACTGCGCTTGTGCCACAAAGGGATTTAACAAAATTCCTTAATATACATACTAACGCAAAAAATTGACATCAGGCTGCATAAGCGCGCGAAAACAGAGCCCAAAAATGAGAAATTTACGGGAGATGGTGGTGGAAGATTTACGCTTGTTTTCTATGCTTCATAGAATTCCGAGGGCGAGGAATTCGCAGAACTGCCATATTTACAAATATACATTTTGATACTTTGGTCATCCGTAGCCTATGGCTTCAACTTTTCCAACTGCACTGACCACTGGTGCATATTCTAATGGTTAGCTTGCTGGTGACTCCGATATTCGTTTCTTCACAAATACGGATTACAAACGTTAGTCATGAATACCGACAACGAAGGGAAAACGCAGAGGACTTGGAAACGTCACTGGCTGCCGACTGGTATTTTTGCACCCCTGAGGAATTTTCAAGGCAAGGAGAAGGTGAAGTACTTAAAGTATTCGAGGAGCAAGAGCCTTAAGTATTCGAAGAACCTTAAGTATCCGAGGAACCTTAGTATTCGAAGAGCCAGAATACTATACTTGTTATTGCAGCAACTGCTTTTATTGTTATTACTATTGAAACTCATTACGTCAGTGAATTTGTTGCTGTGGCCTCGGGCACCACCACCACAGGGCACCACAAGTTTTAGTGCGAAGTTCAACAGTTTCTTCGTCTGTCCACCATGCTGGTTTGGCGGTTGCTACGAAGCAGAAAAATACATTACAAATCAACGATAACGCAGCATGTAACAAAAAAATAAGTCGCCAATCATAGGCAGTCGCATCACCAATCATTGAATCGACCTGCAAAAAAATGCATCTTCGAAAGCCTTAAAAGAGGTAGAAAATCGGCTGTCGGCAAGTAATGAAGTTTGTATTCGATACAATACAGTAAAAATAGAAATGCTTCCAACCAAAATTGGAGAGAAGAGCATAACAGCACACCAAATAAATTGAATGTGTCCAAGAACAAATTGGCTGTATTGCCTGGATACGAAAGTGGCACACTGAAATCTAGCAAATTTATTAAAAAAGTTGTGGTTTTTTAAAAAAACAGCCGGCAAAGCATTCCATCCATCACTAGTTGTCACTTTCCTATCAGTTACTGATCCATAGTTCCATTCCCCAGCTATGCAGTGTTTTGACCAATGCCACTTCATGTAATGATTAGCATGCTAGAGATCTTGACGTTTTTTCCAGTGGAAAGTAAAGTAAAGAAACATAGACAGGATGATCTGAGACGGAGAATTATTTCAGTAACGTCCAAGGCACCGTACTATGGGGCAGAGAAGAAAAGAAAGATGTATTCCACCCTAAAAGGCAGATAAACAATAGATGTGCTGCCACGCTGAAGCTGGAGTAGCAGACTGGTGATGTAGTGGTAACATGCTCCTCCAGGATGCAAAGAGAGGTGGTTCGATTCCCTCCCGGTGTAAAACAGTTTTTAAGAGAAAGCTCCGTTCACGACAATAGCAGTGGTAGGACAATTACCAACATCAATCACCTGCTAGCTAAGCGGGTCAATGTTTCCCTCTTTACAGCAGATATAACACCATGGTGTATGCCAGAACCAATTTTGCCTCGAAAGAAATGAACAAATTGTGTAGGGTTTGGTTGACCCACTGGTGGAGTCAAACCCTCGACCTC